AATGGGCGCCAAAGTTGGGGGACTCCGGGTGTATGTACAGCGACTGCGACTGTTGGGGCGCCGGCTCCGACTTACCGCCGGCCACCCAATCGCCGTTCATATACTTCCAACGGTGGGCACCGATCTGTACGAACTCTATGGCTACGGAGTACATGGCCCGCGGCTCCAGGCCCTCCACGTTTAGCTTTATTACGGGAAACATACGACTAGACAGGGATGCGAGTGGACAGGGAGTTAGACATGTGGTATATTATGTATATTATAAATTGATTTTAATTAGTATTTAAGTTATATTTGTTTTATAAAAGTTATGTTTATATATTTGGTGTCATATAAACCAAGTATGTTTTCAATCGTATTTATCTATTAGCTATTTTTATATCCAATGTATTAGCTATTATAAATAATAACATAGTATGCGATTAGCCATTCATAAATAACCAGGCTAAAATTCACATTATATTGTCTCCATGTGCTAAATAAGAAAGTGATTTACTATTGACTATTAAAATGCATTTTATTTAATAATTTCTAAAGCTTTCTTAATTAAGTAAATTTGAATTAATTATTATAATAGACTACAATATACACTAAAGTTATGTTTAAAAAGCATAGTTACAGAGTCTAAATCAATTTATTGTATTTTTATCACCACTTAAACGTATATTAAAACTATTTCTAACTACAAATTAGGTGTTCCCGGACACATAACACACATACCGTCCGCTTTTGGTGACAATCATCTCATTGGTCTTGCGGTGAAACTCCTTCCACAGGTCCGAGTCCTGTAACTGCATGTGAATCGGACTGTGAGTTTCGGTGCACTCACTAATACCAGTGCCGGGTCTCCGACCACCACCACCACCGCCACCCCCACCGTGCGGGCCCTGGTAGTGGTGCAGCCCTCCCTCCACGATCGATAAGATGCAGTGTGAATCCATTGCCACCATTCAGTCTACCTGTCCACTCAACTTCGTGGGTACAAACACACAGAAACACTGGGCTATACACACACACAGCCCCTCACAAGTGATGTATATATTGAACACAATTACAAAACTATAGCTTTAAAAAGCAAATATAAGTCAATAGTATTTGCGTAAAAACTTTGTGTCAGAAAATACACGCAAATAAAAAACAGTATATCGTGTGTGTGGACAGGGATCTCGAAAATATAAAAACGTTGAAAGCTTACGACACTAGTAGCTCGTATACCACTGACTCGGAGAGAGATATTCAGTATATACTCATCCCATACACTACTCGACACTATTATTCTCTCTCTCTCTCTCTCTCGCAGACTCTCTTAATCTCTCAATTAAAGTGTGTGTTTGAATTGGGATGTATGGGTAGAGTGTGGTGTCTGTCCAGAGAAACGCATGCAAACTGTATGGGAAGGTGTA